AATGAAAAAGTCAAACAAAGCAAGAAATGGGGCTTGCATGGTCCAACGATGATCTGAAGAACTCAACCTGCACCCAAGGTTCCCAAGCAAGGAGGGAGGAAAGAAGGCGAATACACACCCCTCCAAAAGGATCCTGATCACGACCTTGGCTGCACCCTGAGGCCACCTGAGGAGCCCTAAGAAATCCAAATGCCTGGTAGCCACACCTCAAGGCTGTGATTTCTTTTTTTTTTTTTGAGACAGCGTCTCCCTTCGTTCCCCAGGCTGGAGTGCAGTGGCACTATTGCAGCTTACTGCAACTGCAAACTCTGGGCTCAAGTGATCCTCCTGCCTCAGCCTTCCAAGTAGCTGGGACTACAGGCATGCGCCACCATACTCAGCTAAGGTTTATATTTTTGTAAAAACAAGGTCTTGGCCGGGTGTGGTGGTTCCGCCTGTAATACTAACACTCTGGGAGGCTGAGGCAGGAGGATCGCTCAAGGTCTGGAGTTCAAAACCAGCCTGATCAAGAGCAAGACCCCGTCTCTACTATAAATAGAAATTAATTGGCCAACTAATATATATAGAAAAAATTAGCCGGACATGGTCGCGCATGCCTGTAGTCCCAGCTACTCAGGAGGCTGAGGGAGAAGGATTGCTTGAGCCCAGGAGTCTGAGGTTGCTGTGAGCTAGGCTGATGTCATGGCACTCACTCTAGCCTCGGCAACAAAGCGAGACTCTGTCTCAAAAAAAGAAAAAAAAAAAACAAAAACAAGGTCTTGCTGTGTTGTCTAGGCTGGTCTGGAATTCCTGGCCTCAAGTGATCCTCTTTCCTTGGCCTCCCAAAGTGCTGAAATTACAGGCATGAGCCACTGTGCTTGGCCCCCAAGGTTCTGATTTTACTGGTCTGGGGACAGCCTGGGAAATGGGTTTCAGAGCTCTCCAGGTGAGGACAACACACAGCCAAGGCTGAGAAGCAGAACTGAATAGAGACACAGTGGCTCCCAGTCCCGGCTCTGCCACTGGCAATCTTGGCGGTTCTAGGCCAGTCACTTTCCTGCTCACAACCCTGGATTCTTATCTCAAAAAGGCCCCCCGGGTCCCAGATGCAGTGCTCTTCGGGGCAGCTGGCCCCCACGCAGGAAGATGCAGGCTGTGCACATAATTCCGCCAGGCAAAAGAAAATATGTGAATCTTATGAATCTCTTTTTATTTCTGAGACTTAACTTTGGCCCAAGTTCTAGGGCAAATAAAGTGCACCCCTGTCCCACAAGATGGAGAGGATGCTGCCTAGGGCAGGGTTGCCAGATAAAATAAAGGATGCCCACTTACATTTTCATTTCAGATAAACAAAATTTTTTCCACATAAATATGTCCCAAATATTGCATGGGAAATACTTGTACTAAAAAATTTTCGTTGTTTATCTGAAATTCAAATTTAACTAGGTGTCCTGTATTTTATTTGCTAAATTTGATGACCCTACCCAGATGGCTGCTTTTGTTTGTTGGTTTTCGGGCTTTACCCAGTGGGGTCTGATTGCTGTGGGGGAGAGATGGAGGGGTCCCAGGGATTTCCAATTCTGGAATTTCACCGCTGAGACGCTCTAAAGGAACCACGTGACCTCCTTGCTCCTTGCAAAGGAAAGGAACAACATGGACACCGCTGCCTTTTATGTATCCATTTGGTACCTTGCACACCACCCTCGAGAAGCCAAGTTCTCCCAGGAATTAGGAGATTTCTGGTAGGAATTCTGAGATTCTCATATTGCCTCATCCTATGCTGACATAGGATGTACTTAAAACCATATAAAGTCATGACTGCTTAGTTTCTTATTTTTATTATAATTTTTCTTTTCTGACTTATAAATCATTGTTAACTTGGGAAGGAAAAAAAAAAGAAAGAAAAATAATCCATAATCCCTTTACCCAGATGTAACCAGTGTCAACTTGCTGCTCCCCTGGGAAGGAAAGAAACATTTATTGAGACTCAATCACGCGCCAGCAATTTCTCCTCCATTATCTCATATAACCTTCGGAAAGGAAAATCACTTTATTGCTCTTGCTGACAGCAAAAGCAATATAAGCTCTTTACATATATATTTTTAAGAATGGTAGCTCACAGATACAAAGAAAGTAGTGAAATTCACCCATCTCATTATTCAAACATGGAATTCCTAATTTCATTTCCCCCTTTTATATATTTTTGTGAACATTTTTGCTGTAGTACCTGTGCCAGGTACTTCTCATTAATCAAGGAATCTCGGGGATAATCTGCACTTAAGGAAACTGAGGCTCACGTCTGCCTGCTGTACTGATGTTCCAGCAGACTCTGCCTCTCCCTCCCTAGAACATTCTAGGGGTTCAGTAAGGCTTTACTGAATAAGTAAATGTGGGGGAAGAGTCCGTGCCTCCTCACAGATTTTTTCAGTCTCATTAAGTCATCAAAGGCTGCTTCCAATTTGTATTTTTAAAAAATCCTAATCTACTTGTGCCGATTATGGCGTGGCCGTGATTTCGTGGCTGTTACGAGCAGGTGAATGAGGCGAGATTGCTTCCCTGCTCCACAGGAATTAAGAGCTCCCAGAGAGTGACGGGAGACCTAGGAGGTTTTAGAAATCTGCATTTCATGAAGGTAAAATATCAAAACCTTTCATGAAAAAGAGCACGAGGAGACACGGTTAAAATGCCCAAGTAAAGCCCCAGCTTGGAGGGTGGGCAGCTACTCACAATCTGGTCTGTCTAAGCCTGGTATTTGGACATGTGCTCCAGCCCACTTGCAGACAGGGAGAGATTCTTCTTTCTCAGCTGTTATTTCTCGAATGTCTGCTCTGTGCCAGGCCTTGTGGTGCATTCTTTTCACATATCATCTCATGTAACCCTGCCAGCAATCCCATAAGGTGGGTGCTATCATGAACCCATTTTACAGATGAAAAAACTGAAACAGAGAGGTTCCCTTGCCTGGCCAAGGCCACACAGCTGGCAAGTGGCAAGCCAGGTCTATAGCAGAAGTCCATGAGATTCAACTCTCTGCCTGACCACACAGAAGTTCTGCTGCCTTCCTGCTCCTGGGGCTGGGGCACGGCTCAAATGCATGACCCTTCCTGGCCCAGTGGCAGGGTGGTGACTGGGGGAGTGCAGGAGAGCAAGGAGTCCGGGCCAGGACTTTCCCAGAAAGAGCCCAAACATTCAGACATACAAACCGCGGCAATCCACACCATGGACTGCCACTCAGCAATAAGCAGAATAAACCACTGGTACACACAGCAACGACGTGGACGCATCTCAAAAAAACACTAAGCCGAAAGAAGCCAGATGCGAATGCATAGATACTGTATGATCCCGCTTATATAAGGTTCAAAACCAGGCAGAACCCAGTCTATGGTGGAAAATCAGAACAGTGGCTTCCTCTGAGGAAGTGGGGAGTTGACTCAGAAGAGAAGGCAGAAACTCTCTGGGGTGACGGACAGGTGCCTGAATCTGCCAAAACCCACCAATCGTTAGATGAGGCATTTCATCACGGGGGAATTCCATTTAGAGCTGTGTCAGACCCGCTGAGAAACCTGCTGTCCGTTTACTCCCCCATAAATTGAGGCTGGGCTGGTGGAGGTGCTATCAGGTCCAAGGGCGAGGGTCTCCAACAGACAGCGGGTCCGCGGTTGCCGGGGGCTGGGGGGAGGGGAGGAGAGGGAGTGGCTGCTTCGTGGGTAGGGGTTTCCCTTTGGGGCGATGGAATGTTTTAGAACTAGATAAAGGTGATGACTGTCAACTGTATGCCACCCATTTGTATACTTTAAAATGGTTACTTTTCTGTTTTGTGGATTTTACCTCAATTTTTAAAAAAGGAAAAAAAAAAAAGAGTCTCACCATGAGGGCAGCAGACTTCTGCGCTCACGAGTGCTGGACATCAGGATTCAGCACCGGTCGCCGCCGGCTCCATGAGGGCTGGCTCCCGCCCGCCTCCCAGGACCCCGAGCCCATTACCAGTGCGCCGCTGTTTGCTGTTCTTCAAACTTTTTTTAAGGGGTAGGGGGTTGTGAAGAGGGGTGTTCAGTTGCCTTGTTTTTGTTGAAACAGTCTCCCTCTGTCGCTCTGGGTAGAGTGTAGTGACGTCACTATAGCTCACTGTAACCTCCAACTCCTGGGCTCTAAGTGATCCTTCTGCCTCAGCCTCCCAGGTAGCTGGGACTATAGGTGTGCGCTGCTACGCCCGGCTGGTTTTTTTTTTTTCCCCCTTTCTTTCCTTTCTTTTTGGTAGAGACAGGGTCTTACTCTTGCTTAAGCTAGTCTCAAACTCTTGAGGTCAAGTGATCCTCCTGCCTCAGCCTCCCAAGTATCTGGGACTACAGGCATGCGCCACCATGCCCAGCTCATTTTTTTTCTATATATATTTTTAGTTGTCCAGCTAATTTCTTTCTTTCTTTCTTTCTTTTTTTAGTAGAGACGGGTCTCACTCTTGCTCAGGCTGGTCTCAAACTTGTGAGCTCAAGCGATCCTCCTGCCTCAGCCTCCCGAAGTGCTGGGATTACAGGCATGAGCCACCACACCCAGCCTGGGGTCTGACCCATCTGACTGCTCCCTGCCTGCTCAGCGCAGGTACCCACGGGTGTGATCAGAGCTCACCTCTGACTGCTGAGAAAATGAACGACTCAGTGTGCAAGTGGAAGTGTGAGTAAATGGAGTGAAGGAGTGAGCAAATGAATAAATGCCTGTGCAAATGAGCCAGTTAATGAACAACAGCAAATAAACAAGGAAGCGAAGAGGAATGAGTGAGTGAGTGAGACTGGGCCGGTTGGACCCGTGCGGGTTCCAGTCCCGGCTTTGTGGCTAACGGCCTAGCCTCTCCATGCCTCAGTGTTCTCTTCTGTAAACCGGGCGGCCAGTGGTTGTGACAAACAAATGAGTTAAGACTCGGAAAGCGCTCAGCACACGCCCGGCCGGGTGCGCCCACGGTTCGGCGGCTGTGACCGCTAGAGCCCCCTCCTGCGCACGGGCACCTCTGCCGCCGGCAGGCCCCGACCTACCGAGGAGCTGCACCTCGTCGGTGATGCCATAGACGTCGATGAGCGCCCAGAGCGGGCCGCCCACGGCCACGCCGCAGTGGAAGAGCACGGGCTCGCCGTCGTTGACGCTGTAGAAGACGCGGCCGTGGCGGTCGGCCCAGTAGGCCAGCACGGTGTCGCGCAGCGCCAGGTTCTCGGGCAGCGCCTTGGCCCAGTAGCCGGGCCGCGTGACCAGGTCGGGGCAGGCGTACTTGGGGATGTCCTGCGCGCTCATGAGCGACGGGTCGTGCGCCGTGAAGCCGAAGCGCAGCGCGCCGCTCCAGCCCGGGCGCACGGCCACCAGGCGCAGCCGCACCTGCTCGTACAGCCGGATGGGCCGCTGCGTGAACGTGACGCCGTTGCAGAAGCTGTTGCGCCGCGTGGCCCGGCGCGAGTGGCCGTCCAGCCGCACGTTCTTGCCCTTGGCCTGCGTGTGGAAGCGCGGCGCCTCGCCCAGCACCTGGCGCCGCTCCGGGCCGGGGCCGCAGCACGGCCGGGTGGCCAGCAGGCGCGCCGGCGGGCTCGAGTCTGCGGGAGAGACAGGCAGGACGGTTAGCTCCTGATTGCGCTTTTGCTAAAGTCCTTTTCATTTTAAATTCTCTCTCGATTAGACCGGCAAATGATAAACTTGAGAAGGTTCCAGGCTAGACCAAAGCCACAGCAGAATACCCATTTCACAGATGAGCAAACCAAGGCAGAATGTGTATGTATGTGTGAATGTGGAAGCACTAGAGGTGTTTCGCTGTCAGGTGGGCCAACACCAATGAAATTGTCTCAACAGCCAGCAGGGTTCAAGTGACTTCTCCATCTCCATCAAAACCCTCCAAGTCTAGAAGGGTCTCCCCAGGCCACCTATAGGCTGCAGAGTCCCTCCAAAGGCAACAAGGGTCGTGGGTTTTTTGGGGGGCGGTGGTGAAGGTCTTTGGCTGTTTTTTTCTGTGCCAGTTTTGTTCAAAAGCAAGCAGTAGGGCAATAGAAACGGCACTCTCTTGTGATCCCCAAGGTAGCCTGAATCCCAGCTCTCTGGCAATTCTTGGCTGGGTGACATGAGCTGGACTCTGTCATTTCTCTAGTTTGTTTTCTTGCCTGTAACATGGAGACATTACCTAACTCACACAGCTGCTAAATGGCTACATGGATGAGGTCCCTAGATTAATACCTGACATAAAGTATATGCATAGCAGGCCACTAATAAGATACTACTGAGGTTCCAAAGCAAATCCAAGCCAGGATTCTGTGACCCACAGAAAATGAAGGTATTCCTTATGAGCAAGGCTGGCTTTTCTAGAATGTACACTTTTGGGCGTTCATTTCTAAAGCAATTCTGCTCTGAAAGACCTCGGGAATCCTTGGGTGGTCTTTCAAAGGATCTGGCCACGGGTCCCAAGCCCAGGTGGTCCAGTGAGTGGGAGTCGTCGTCTCCCCCTGCCTTTCCTCCTCCCACCCCCGTCTGTTCTTGGGAGGCTGTGGCCGCCTGGGAGGGGCAGGTGGGTGATGACTGCAGGAGTCTCCGCTGCTCGTTCACAACAGTAGCTGAACACAGTTCCCGAGGCAGATTCTCATGCATCGCAGGCACGCTGAGGCCCACAGTGAGGACAATGGTGACCCCGGGGACCGAGGGACCACACCTCCCACACCCAGCCACGGGTGCGCTGTGCTCCAGGCACACCAGGGGGTGGAGGTGGGAAGTTCAATTAATACGAGGCTGCGGGAGCCAGGGCAGGAGAAAATGAAGAGCGGGAGGCGATGAGGAGGCGGACAAGCCACGGCCCCCTCCCAGCCCAAGGAGGAGGAAGCCCCACCCGCCAAGGCAGGAAATTGTGCAGGGAAGCCACAGAGCCACAGAACACAGGGCGCACGACAGAGGATGACCCAGCCAAGGAAGGGGGCAGAGAGAGGTGTTCTTAGGATTTCTGGGGAGGGGCTCTCTGATGGGTGACTTTTGAGCAGAGACCTGAAGGAGGTGACAGGATGAACATGGGCGCGTGGGGGAGGGTCATTCCAGGCAGGGGGTACAGCAAGTGCAAAGGCCCCGAGGTGGGACTGTGCTGGTGTGGCTGAGAAATGACAAGGAAGCCGGTGGTGCAGCCAGGCACCTGGGGGTGTGGAAGGAAGTAAGACCGGGGGTGGGGGGGCGAGCCTATAGTAGTTGTTTTTCCTTCAACCATTTCACTCCGAATGCGCTGAGCCCTTATATATATTGAAGGTTTGCAGCAGGGAAGTGGGGGGACTGCTCAGGCCACTGTGTGGGGGACTGCGGGGGTGGGCAGGAAAGCTGGCGGCCCCAGCAAAGCTCCTGGGTTATTTTGGGGCAGAGACGATGGTGGCGAGATGGGGGTACCAGCAAGGGTGGTGAGAGGGGTCAGATTCTGGATGTGATTTAAAGGCAGTAGAGACTGGAGGTTTTAATTCGTTTTTACAGAAAGAAAAAACATTCAGTATAGTTGCTTTGGGTGTTTAAACTATAATCAATAGATAAAACAAATCTCAAAAGACCCTTTGGTTCTATATCAGACAGCAAAGGGGAAGCAGGGCGCTGGTCAGGAAGGGCAGGGAGCTAGCACAGGTGGGGCCCGGAGCCAGGCACCTGTCCCTGTCATCTTTAGTGGCCCTGTGCCCTGCAAAGTCCTGGCACACGCCAGGCACTTGATGAATACCAGCTGCTGCCTGTGTGATAGTTAGATAGACGGGGAAATGGGTGGACAGAGGGAGAGGGCCTGCCCAAGCTCAAGGTCAGTCAGGGTCAGGGCAGGAACCCCTTCCTTGGGCTCTTCTGGCCAGGCCACCTCTGATGCAGGGAGGTGGGATGTCAGAGGTGACTTTCGCCCAAGAATGGTAAAGGCCCTGGAGGGGCCAGCCGAGCATCACCTCCCCGGGCCTTGGTCCATCAGGAAGGACCCCACTTTTCTGTACTTCCCACTACTGTCACGTGGACACCTGCCACTTCTGCCCCCTCAGCATCCATCTCTCTTTTTCTGGTTATCACGTCCCAGTTTTCCTTGGGAGATCCCGCTTTTCCCTAGCCAGCAGACTGACCTCCAAGTCTAGAAATTGGAGTGTGACCCAGGCCTGGCCAATCAGATGATTGCAGACTTCTCAGCTAGGGGTGCTTTTTTTTTTTTTTTTTTTGAGACAGGGTCTCACTCTGTCATCCTGGCTAGAATGCAGTGGTGTCATCATAGGCCACAGCAACCTCAAACTCCTGGGCTCAAGGGATCCTCCTGCCTCAGCCTCCCAAGTAGCTGGGACTACAGGTGAGCACTACCACACCCAGCTAATGTTTTCTATTTTTGTAGAGACAGGGTCTCCCTCTTGCTTAGGCTGGTCTCAAACTCCTGGCCTCAAGCAACCCTTCTGCCTTGGCCTCCCAGAGTGCTAGGATTACAGTGTGAGCCACTGCACTCAGCCTCATTACTGCTTTTAAACAAAGAGATTACCCCTAATTGAGGTGGAGGCTTGAGTTGGGGTTTTGATACTTGCAAACAAAATGTCCTGACTGGTAGAATCACTACACATTCAGACGCTTATTCTGGGCTGATTGTTTGCCACGTATTTCCTCATTCAATCCTCACAATATCCCTATGAGGTAAAGACTACTGTTATCCATCCCATCATGGATGAAGAAATGGCATTTCAGAGAGGTCGAGTCACTCGCCCAAAGTCACACAGCTGGTTTAGATAAGGACAGTGCTGGGATTAAAACCCGGGTTGTGTGATCCCTGGATCTGTTTTTTTAACCACTTTACCATAGTCTCTCTGCCTTTTAGGAACCAACACAGGTGGGTAGAAGGGCTGGGCCACGGGCCCCTGATGCAGGAGAGGAGGCAAGAGGCTGCCCCTTGACTCCACAGAGCCCTGGGCAGGCCTGCTGGGCACTGGACTGGCACAGGAGGCCCGCAGACAAAATGCTCACTATGATGCTCATTCATTCATTCATTCATTCACCCTTTCTGCAGATCACACACATCCTGCCCTCGTGGAGATCTGAGCTTCTCTACGTCTGACACGCAGCCGAATACACAATGACAAGAGGCATGGTCAAGACCACCTCACCCAACAGCACTGGGGGCTGCGAGGGCCTGGAGTAGTGGTGATGCCACCGAGCCAGGTCCGCCGGGTGGAGGGGAGAGGGGCACGCTGGGGGAGGCTGGAGTCGTGGGCGGGGGAAGTGTTACAGTGTGGCAGGCATAGACAGGGTGTGTGAAGCTGGGCAGCTCCTGTCTTGCAGGGGTGAGGGACGAGGGTGCTGCCAACGTGAGAAGAACCGGACGGGGAGGCCCCAAAGGCCGATCCACGGGGCTCAGACGGCACGGCATAGGCGAGAGGGAGCTAGATAGGGCTTCCAGCACAGCAGGGCCGGGCGAGGCCTGTGAGGGCAGGGCCTGCAAGGAGACGGGGTGGCGGACGCAGAGCCAGGCTGCAGGCCACCTCCAGAACCCCGAGGATAAAGGAAGGGCCGCTGCAGAGCTGGTTCAGAAGGACAAATCCCAAATTGGGGGGTGGGTGTGGGGGAACGCCAGTGAGGTATAAACCATCAGCAGAGGCGGCTGGGGACAGCGGCAGCCTGTGTTCCCGCGCACAGTGTGGCCTTGCACACAGCACTCAACTCCGGCCACAGCTTCCGCCAGCGCCCAGCAGGCCAAGGCCCCTCCAGCTGGCGAATCCTCCAGGAGACGTTAAATATGACCACAGATCAAAAGCCCTTCCGAGCGCCAACATCCACGGCCACCCTTATTTATTTTTCCCTCCCCTCCCCATGGCTGTTGTGTTTTCCAACCGCGTCTCTCAATCAGAGAGTTTCTCTGCAGAACGGCTCGGGAATCCTCAGCAGATGTTCCCTAAGAGGGCTCTGGCGGTTTCGAGGCGCGCTGGAGTGGGGAGAAATACTGCCTTGTTACTATAAGGGGACGTTTCCTGCAAAGCCAGCTATATGTTAGGATAAAATGCAGCCAAGTAACCAGCTAAGTTTACATATTTGTTTAATCTTGATTATATGATTTGACTTCCTTCAGGGAACGAGGGATAAACACTCAATCTTCCCCCCTCAGATGCCAGAGCCCTGATGTGAGATAAAGAAAACCACAGTGAAAAAGTTTCTGAGAAGTTGTGTTATTTACACAAATGGAAGATGCTTAAAATAAAAGAACAATAAGCAATCTCCAAATTGTACCAACATCTGCTTTGAGCTCGGCTCAGGGAAAGTGGTTCCTCCAAGGAACAGAGAGTGGTGGAGGTGGGTTCAAAGGGCTTTGCAGATCATCCTAGCCTGGAGATGTCGACGGGAACCCTGAACTTCATAGCATTTGAGTTGCTGCAACAAAAACAACAGCCACGGTGCAGAACGTTCGGGAAAGAGGAGAAAATCCGTGCCCTGCCGCATCTGTAGTTCCAGTCCTGATCCCACGTGAGAACCGCTGGTTGTGCCCTCCCCACGCCACGCCCTGTGCTGCGTGTTTTCCAGTATTTTAGCTATGTGATCGCAGCTAACTCTCAAAACCAATCTCCACCTACAGGCTCCGTCTCCATGT